GGTGGGTGGAGGCTGCGAATGAAGTGTTGGTTGAGCTCTGTTAGGGACTGTAAATAGACGTGTTGTCTGTGACCATCAATATAGGCATCCTCTCCAATTAAAGGCAAGGTGACTGAGGTTCAGAGATGAGGAATTGGCTTGCCCACAGCCACAACTAGGGTGAGTTCCAAAGATCAGATGTCCACTTCTGATGTCTAATGAGCACCAACTGTGTGCTAGCCATTAAGAATACCCATCAGATCCTATAGACAATCAAGGAGATCCCAGTGAGGAGGGATTTGAGTGAGGGGTTGCTTCGGGGATAAAAACAACATATTTGAGTCAAACCAAAGGTTGTTCTATCCCTAAAGGAAGTCAAATGGGCAGGAGAGCTGAACTAGGGAGCTGGCTCACTCGGCAAAGTGCCTGCCATACAGACATGAAGACTTAAGTTCAGATTCCCAGCATCCATCCATGTAACCAGCCAGGCACAAGGCAGCAGTGGATCTTCCCCAGAGGGAAGTCACCGTGGTAACGTGTGGATGGGAGAGTGGGCCCGACTCGTGTCCGTCAGTAACGAGGCAGCTGTAGGGTAAGGTAACAGTAAGGATGTCTGAGAAAGTCATAAGGAGTCATACTGTTAACCATGTACAAAAACCAAACCAACCTGAAGTTCTGTGCTGACTAGTCTATGTCGGCTTGATACAGCTAGAGGTAGCTGACAGGAGGGAACTCAGTTGAGAAAAGGCCTCCATAAGATGGGCCTGTAGGGTATTTTCTTAAATAGTGATTGATGGGAGGGTGGTACCACCCTGGGCTGGTGGTCCTGGGTTCCATAAAAGCAGGCCGAACAGTCTACGATGACCAAGCCAATAAGCTGCACCCCTCCATGGCCTCTGCATCAATTCCTGCCTCCAGGTTCCTGCCCTACTTGAGTTCTTGTCCTGACTTCCTTCAGTGATGAGCGAGGATGTGGAAGTGTAAGCCAAATAAGCCGTTTCCTCCCCAGGTTGCTTTGGTCATGGTGTTTCGTCACAGCAATAGTAACCCCAACTAAGACAAATACACTCGAACCTAAGTCTGTGTACATATATAGTTTAAATGAACTCTTCTGGGCTGACAGCATTCCCTCCAAGAGCCAAAGACCACCTAACAAAAACTCCACCACCACCAGTCATGAGAAGACTCTTTTGAATTGTTGGCCAGGGTTGTCCAGAAGACCCCCAAAACATCCAGGCTATTGCTGTCGTCTTTGGTTGACTCCCAGAGATGCAAGTAGGTCCCCATTGCCGAAGACAACATGTCCTTCAGACCCTGAGCTAGAGCTGACGGGGCATTTGCTGCGAGATTGTGTCTCTTAGTAATATCAGAAGCTACATTCCTAAAGTCTCACCATCATGACTGCCTAAACATGAGCTGAACAAGAACGACACCAATAGTCAAGCCAAAGTGGATGGGGAAAAGACCATGAGGCCTCAAACCTACACGAAGAACTACAGGCAGCTAAGGAACACTGAGAACTGGAGAAATAGTCCCTTCCCCAGGGAGGAGCACACCAATTGGTTAGCCAGTAACAAGTGGTCAGCTCTGAAAACACACAGTAATATAGACCGAGCAGATTGTGTGTGTGTGTGTGTGTGTGTGTGTGTGTGTGTGTGTGTGTGTGTGTGTGTAAATTCCTAAAGGAATTTTTTTAAAAAGCAGCCGTGGGCCACGGAAAAAGGATGTACCAAATTAAAGAGGGCCACCGTGATGGGAAGAATTGTGTGGGTCTTTTGGAGGTGGAACAAACAAACAAACAGGGTCGGAAAGAGAAGTCAGGAGACCACCATGCTGGACTGAGAGGCCTGCTGACAGCTGGGGGTTAGGAGTGAGAAGAGCTCAGGACACTAGGAAGGAAGCCACAGGGCTGGAGAGAGGGCTCCATGGTTAAGAGTACTTGCTGCTCTTGCACAGGACCTGGGTTCAGTTTCTAGCACTCACATCAGGGTGCTCACAACTGCCTGTAACTCCAGCTCCAGGGGACTTGATGCCCTTTTTGTGGCTTCGGCAGTCACCTATATGCATGTGCACATACTAACACACGCGCGCGCGCACACACACACACAAACACACACACACACACACACACACACACAAATAAAAATAAAAAATAAAATTTAAAAAGGAAAGCATTAAGAGTCTAAGATGGCATCAGGGGACGCCCAGGGCATCCCCTCCTCCCTTGTAGGTACACATTGAAAGGGTATAAGGCGCTGGATACCGCAGCGGCTGTGGCAGTGCTGGTTTGGAGCCATGGTTTCCAGAGTTAGAATGGGCTTTATTAGAAGAGGGGATAGGACAGGAGAAGCCAGGCCTGGCAAAGAGGAAAAAGAGAGGGGCACAGAGAGGCGGGGGGAGGGGGAGAGACCAAGAGAGCGTGTGGGGGTGCACGTCCAGCTTTTAGGCTGGGATGCAGTCGCCTGCTGATGACGCCAGATGAGACACACACACACACACCCCAGCTGGGCGTATACAGAATCCTTACACACATATCTGTGTTCTGGGAGCCAGATGAGACCCCCCCCAAGCTGGGCATTTACAGAATCCTTACACACATATCTGGTCTGGGAGCCAGACGAGACCCCCCCCCAAGCTGGGTGTATACAGAATGCTTACACACATATCTGTGGTCTGGGAGCCAGACAAGGACATCCCCCCAAGATGGGCGTATACAGAATGCTTACACACATATCTGTGGTCTGGGAGCCAGATGACACACACACACACGCACACACACACACACACACACACACACACCACTGGGCATTTACAGAATCCTTACACACACATCTGTGGTCTGGGAGCCAGACAAGACCCCCCCCCCAGCTGGGCATTTACAGAATCCTTACACACACATCTGTGGTCTGGGAGCCAGACAAGACCCCCCCCCCAGCTGGGCATTTACAGAATCCTTACACACATATCTGTGGTCTGGGAGCCAGACGAGGACCCCCCCCCCAAGCTGGGCGTATACAGAATGCTTACACACATATCTGTGGTCTGGGAGCCGACTGTAGCCTTGTCTAGCCATCTGCTGCATCAGCCACCAGAATCTAACACACTGTAGCCTGGGTGTAGGGCTCAGCAAGTTAGGCCATCTCCGCACCCTTAGATCGCCAGCTGGCTTCCTCTTCCCACAGAGAGGTTTTGCTAGAAAACCCCAGGTTGGAGCCTGAGACTAGCCTATCAGTTAGCATCTCCCAAGGTGGGTGGCCTGAGCCACTAACTGAGGGTGAAAAGAAGTGTTTCCGATGGTCAGGGAAGATGCCACCTCCTGAGGACCAAGAAGCCTGAGCATAGGATAACAAATGTCACTTACAACCTGGGAGACCCCACCCCTCTGAGGAACAGGAAGGCAGGCGAGTTGGCCATGACTTCTGCAGGTGAGAGGCAGCTCTGACCCAGAAATGATTGGCCCAAGGCTGCATAGCAGTGTCCTGGATCAGGCGGCAACTCGCAGCCCAGTGTACACCTGACTACCAGAGCCACACCAGAGGCATGGGCAGGGGTGAATGCGTGGATGGTCCCACGGTGGTTTGGGTGAGAGCGGCCCCCACAGACTCACGTGTTTGAATACTTAACCCCAGCTGGTGGAACTGTTCGGGAGGGATTAGGACATGGCCTTGTTGAAGGAGGTTCATCACCCAGGGGCCAACTTGAAGTTTCAAGAGACTTGTGCCATTCCGGGTTTCCCTCTCTGCCTCATGGTTGAGTCATAGATGTGAGCCCTCAGCCACTGCTGTAGTGTCATGCCTGCCTCCTGCCACGCTCCCCACCACATGGTCATGAACTACCTTCTGAACCGATAAGCCCCAAATACACTTCCTTCTGTATGTCTTGGTCACGATGTCTTAACACAGCAACAGAGAGGGAACTATGACAGGCTTGGTGACAGAAGTCCCTTTCTCACTAGGCAGGTGACCACGGTTGTCACAACTGCACAGGAAGCACTTTTACCCGCCGAGGCGTCTCACGACCCATGGTCTCTGGGATCACGGCATCTGCGTAAGCTCCCGGTGGGCACCATTGCTACGATTCACTCGGACTAAACCAGTGACTGAGAAAGAGGCCTGAGCTTAGAGCAGTGGGTGGTCCCGGTGCAGTGGAGCTTTCTCTCAGGCCAACTCCTGTGGGACCAGAAGAGGCAGGGTCTAACAGTGACAGTCATTTGGTGATTTCCCGGCACACTCCACATAAATACATCCCACGTTCTGAAGCCGGACATGAGAACGTCAGAGTCCTCACTGGAAGTGAGAGCACATGTCAGCAGAGCATGGGGAAGGCAGAGGTTAGGTGTGAGGAACAGAGTCTAACTGCCCAGTCCTTTCCCTGGTGGCGTCTTCTGAGCAAAGCACACCCACATCCGGGGAGGAGCCCGGGCCGGCCAGCCTCGGTATCTCTTGGCACAAACATTCAGTCACCACCGTCCCCTTTACCGCTGCTCACTTGGCCTCTGGCAGTGAGGGCCTCGGCAGGCTTTGCCTGTAAAACTTCTGCTTCTGCCTGCTTATTTCAAACCTGCCCCTTTGTGTGGGGTGGGGTGGGGTGTCTAAGAATGCAGGCAAGTGCTTAGGGGGTTCTGAGAGTCCAGGCAAGTGTGGAGATGCAGTGAGATGCGGCTCCAACAGAGGCATCTACAGAGCACAGGGGACCGGGAAAGCAAGTGGCCCACATTAACACAGGAATGACATCTGCTCAGGTCACAGGAGCATCAGCAGGGGGACACAGGGGGGACACAGAGGACTGGAAAGAGTGGTCAGGGAAAGCCACTCAAAGGGACCCTGTGGAATGAGGGAGGCTCCCCAGAATGGGGAGGCCTGAGAGGGGGGAGAGATGGTGCTGTGGAAGAACAGAATGTCGGCGAGTCCAGAACAGGGCAACAGGAGGGGGGGGGGGGCTGGCCCACAGGAACATCCATCAATAGCACTACTTTGGTTTTTCTCGTTCAACATCATGGAAGACTATTCTGTTAGAAGAGGTGATTTAAAAACATTTTAATGACAAAACTCATAAAAAAGAAAACAAAATTGCTTTCCACGTTAAAAAAAATCATCACATGACAATACCCACTCGTGATGGGGATGGAGACCTCTGAATCAAGTGGTCCTGCTGGAGCAGCCTGATGCTTCCAGATTGTGTGTGTGTGTGTGTGTGTGTGTGTGTGTGTGTGTGTGTGTGTGTGTAGTGTATGTATGTGTAGTATGTGTTCATGCTAATGAACAGAACCTAGCTATGGAGTTGCACACACTAAACAACAGTTCTATACTGAGTTCCCCCTTTCACTCCCAAGGGTGGCTGAGCACTCAAAACCGCGTGGGTCTCTTGTGTTACCCAGGCTGTTCTGAGTCTCACAGCTGCAGTAGACCAGATGTAAATTCTTGGGGGCGAGAGGAGTTCCGGGTAAAGACCATCCCTCGACTCCCACCCACGGGCCTTGCCGTGAGGCCTTCCTTCGGGGGGCTGCGCTCCTCTTCACCCGTGGCTTTGGCTCCTGGCTTCTCTGACAGGCTGCCATCTGCCAGTGCTCAGTCTTCAGGGTTGGTGCCGCAGGGTCTTCGGAATTCCTGCCCATACTCGTGTATCCACTTGTTGGCCACTGAGGAGGGCAGGGGGGAGCGGGGCTCAGCAGGGAGATGGCCGCAGCCCTGTGTGCTTCATCACAGGGCATGGGAGCACAGCCTAAAATCCTGCTGTCTGCCTAGTCCAGTCCCGGCCCGACTGCACAATCTGCTGCTCCCAGCAGAGCAAGCACAGCGCCCTCCAGAAATTCTCAGCAGATCTTGCTAATGGCGTACTGATTTTCACACGTGTGGCACCTGGTCGTTCTCCATTCTAAAAGCCCCAGTGAAAGTGAAGCCATTCCTGGGTAACAGGGAAGAAAGCGTTTGCTTCTCCTGGTGTCCCTGTCAATGTGACAGCCATTTTCCTTTCTGGCTTCAGAGCGAGGTGCTCTTGGCCACACCTGCCAATAAACATGTCTGCCCACCATGAAGGAAGGAGTCCATCCATCCCTGCTGTCATGGCTTCTTGCCTGACCACTCCTTTGGGGCAGAGCTAAATGGGGGAGTGGGTTTGACAGTGTTCGCCTTGATGCAGAGGTTGGGAAGGCGCTCTGGTGTCTCATGCCTCTCCTTCATGCTCAGATGAAGCATCCTGGCCAGGCCTGTGACGCTTTGCTGACACCTACTCTTCCCAGGCCCCGAATCTGCTGGGACACCTGACTGCTCATCTATCCACGTCGCTGGCACTCAGCAGTACCACGAAGCCTCCAGAAGGGGGCTCTGCCGTCCGTCTCCACCCACTCCCCACTCCACTTTTCCATTTTCTCACCCACAAAGACAGGCCTTACCCCACTTATCTCCCACCAGGACAGGGCAGCCAGCATGAAGTGTGTCTCCATCCCCCTCTCCACTCCTGTGCAGGTTCCACCAAAACAGGGCAGCGTTCTGAAAACGAGAGGGGGGATGGGGAGGGTAGGAGGTCAGCCCAGCATCCTGGACTTTTGGTAGGCATGTGAATAAGGACACAAATTCATGCCATGAAATAGGAAACTCTTTCACCTCCGTGCGGTTTGGAGCAAGCAGGCATTGAAAGGCACAGGAGGGTGGAAGCTGCCACCAGGTGTGGGCACTGCCTCACGGCCTGCTCGGCTCCAGGCCTGGGCATGTGGAGACAGGCCACACCTGGCTCTGCTCTTGGGGGGCCCAAGAGAGACAGAGATGAAAGCAGACTAGGACAATGTGGCCCACCCAGTGCTGGGAGCCAGGCAAGCCCAGGCTCACAGGGTCACTGCGGACAGATACCCAACAAGACCCACAGGGTGGGAGATACCCCACGGGGTGGGAGATGACCCACAGGGAGGAGGGTGTCCCACGGGGTGGGAGATGACCCATGGGGTGGGAGATACCCCACGGGGTGGGAAATGACCCACAGGGTGGAAGATATCCCACGGCGTGGGAGATGACCCATGGGGTGGGAGAAATACCCACGGGGTGGGAGATGACCCATGGCATGGGAGATGACCCACAGGGTGGGAGAAATACCCATGGCGTGGGAGATGACCCACGGGGTGGGAGATATCCCCCACACAGCTGAAAGCAAGTGCACCACCATTCTCCACCCACTGGGGCCTTGAAATCATGCAACTAAGAAGAAAGTTAAGACTCAATCCCCTTGCTGGGCGGTGGTGGTGCACACCTTTAATCCCAGCACTCGGGAAGCAGAGGCAGGCAGATCTCTGTGAGTTTGAGGCCAGCCTGGGCTACAGAGTGAGTTCCAGGAAAGGCACCAAAACTACACAGAGAAACCCTGTCTCAAAAAAACAAAAACAACAACAACAACAACAACAAAAATCAAGCCCCTGTGCTCTGACCCCACAGCCTCTGTTCTTCTCTGCACTGTGTTCTTAGCCACACCCTCAGGCTCCCTTTAACCATGGCCATCAGACTAGATGGAGCCAGGAAGCAGCACTGGAAGCGTGGCCATGCCCCACTCAGGATGCACCAGGCACTGTGCTCAGGGCTTGAGCTGAGGCTCTCTAATCCATCTCCTTCCCGGGTTACTAAGGGCATGTTTGATCCTTCTGAAACGTGGAGGAAATGGTCACCCACAAAACAAACCTGTCAGCGCTGGCTCTCTGGAGAGCCACGGCTGTCACTGCTGTGTGTTGTCATGGCTGAAATTCTCTGTGAGCTCCAGGGCAGGGCTCTGAGCCTTGCTCTGAGACCCCGGTGCCTTAGCTCTGTGGGGAACTAGTTACTGTGGAGAACCTGGGGGTGACTCTGAGTTCTTAGCCTCTGAGGAACCCACAGTGACAAGGAAGACAGGCCTGTCATCATCTACTGTAACAGACATGGAAATAAAACAACAAATAGGACCACAAGGACATGTTGTAGTGACAGGAATGTGTGGGTAGTTCAAAAGAAAATGGTCCCCAAAGGGAGTCGCACTATTAGGAGGTGTGGCCTTGTTGGAGTAGGTGTGGCCTTGTTGGAGGAAGTGTGTCACTGTGGAGGCAGGCATATATGCTCAAGCCATACCCAGTGAGACAGACCACTCACTTCCTGTTGCTTGCGGGTCAAAATGTAGGACTCTCAGCTGCTTCTTCAGGATTATGTCTGTCTGTACACCATCATGTCCCACCATGATGACAATAGACTGAAACTGTAAGCCATGCCATTAAATGGTTTCCTTTATAAGAGTTTTCATGGTCATGGTGTCTCTTCATAGCAATAGGAACTCTAAGACAGAATGGGACATGGCCTTTGGGATTCCAGAAGAATCTCTTTTTATCCATCTCCCAGGCATCAACTTGCAGAGAGGGCTGAGTTCTTCACCGTCACACACCATCACAACCACATCCTCTAGGGGGAGACCCCACTCACCTTAACCACAGGTACACTGAAGTTGGCATAAATGAAGGCCGTGGCTCCTCCCGCTTCTACTGCGCTCAGCTATCATGAAGAGGAAGAAGCCAGAGTTGAGACAGCTGCTGACAGCCCTCTGTCATGTACTCATGAACTCAGAGGTCATTTCTGCACAGACAGTGTGCAGGGCTTCTGTTTCAGTTAGGGGAGAAATCCTTAGAAGTCACTCATCCAACTTCCAAATTCAGTGAACCTCTGAGAGGGTGCTGCTACTCACCCATGGAGCTTCTCACCAGTGGACAAGATTCTGGAATTCCCCCCTTATTTTTGCTTCTGGCTACCATCTTGATGGAGGGCTATAATAAGTAGATTCCAACTTTTTTTTAAAAGATTTATTTACTTTTTAAAAGTTATGTGTAGGGGTGGTGAGACAGCTCATTGGTCAAAGCACCTATTCTTGCTGAGGACCAGGTTTGGTTCCCAGCACCCATGTGGCAGCTCACAATCACCTGTAACTCCAGTTCCAGGGGATCCAAGAATCCTCTTCTGGCCTCTTTGGGCACCAGGCACACAAACATACATGCAGGCAAAGCATTCATACACACACATAAAAATTATGTGTATGCCTCTGTGTGCATGTGTGTGTGCGTGCACGTGCGTGTGCGTGTGTGTGTGTGTGTGTGTGTGTGTGTGTGTGTGTGTGTGTGTGTGCAGGTGCCTTGGAGTTCAGAAAAGCTGGAGCCACAGGCAGTTGTACACCGCCTGATGCAGATGCTGGGAACAAACTCTGGCTCTCTGCAAGAGCAGCACCTCTCCTCACT